GAATGGTTTAGTGGGTTGTGTATTAAAATAAAGTTTCAATAATTGTATAAAGAAAGAATCATATGACAACTTGGCTTACAGACCACTGGAGTGATTGTACGTGCAAACAAGAGGGCGCAGATTAACATCCTGCTGAGCAAAATCTCTGGATTCTCGTGAGTATCTTCATTTAAACATGGCTATTCGATGTTGAACCAGTGTCTGATTGTCTGCACTGTACATTATTTCTTTTACACTCTTTTTATTGTGTTCACAACAGAAACACTAGAAACCTGAATGACACAATCTTTCCCGTCATGTTCATCAATGAGGTAAGAAACTGTAAAGACATGCTCACACTAGATTTGAACACATGAGTTAATCAGTTCATCATCTTGAAGTTCTTGCAGCATTATACATAATTTTTTTGGAGGGCAAAGACATAAAACACAATTTAAATACACAATAACATTTAAACAACCATGGCAAATATAGAGAAAAACTTAAAAATAATGAATGCTTTATTTTAAACATAAAAAAGAAAGCATATATTATTATTATTATTATTTGTTTTTGTTTGTTTCCACGCCTTTTTCCAACTGATTTGGGATATGAGGCCTATATGACGTGTGCCATATGTGTTGGATATTATATTTGTGCTGTGTGAAAAAATATGTTTGTGTTTTGAATTAAGAACATGTATCGACAAAATTAGCAAATAATAAAAGGCAAGAAAAAAAGAAAACAGAAAATAATGAATCACTTTGTAAATCAATCAATTAAAAAATAAACACATTTAATTTTCAAGACGCTAAACCAGTCACTAATCACATCTTAGTTTCCTCTACATAATATATGTTTGCTTTGTCTTTAATTCGCAGACTGTGGTGATTGATGATGCGTCTGCGGCCCGAGTACACAAGCTGCTGCTGATCGTCACTCTGGTGTCCAACTTCCCGCTCCTCATCGTGGGACTGGGGGCCATCATGCTCGCAATTTTCATCATCCTCCTGTACAGAGCCCACAAACAGAAGGTATGACAACACCTCTGACCTGATTTCCTTCTAACAAGCTTAACACTTACTTGCTGTGTGCCAAAAAGTAATTTGTGTTAATTGTTGTGTAATTCAGTCAGTTGCTTAACCACCCACTAATTGCACTGTGCATGTGTTCATGTGTCCCCGTGCAGAATGAAGTAAAGCGCACTGTGTTTACCAAGCCGCTCTATGCTGTAAGTCTTTTTGGTTATTTTGCTGCTTTGTTTAGTCTTAATTGTCGATATGCATTTTGTATTCACTTTCTTTTCATATAGTAAGATCACTTGCTATATAAAAATGTGTTGTGATGCTGTACAGTAAACCTAATGTCTGGTTTTAACACAATAACATCACTTAGTAAAAATACATCTCTATTTAAGTATTTAAAAATGTGTGTGGTAATGTAAGATGAAACGTTCAAGTACAACAACCTTTTTGATACAGGTATAGGTCTAAAAAGTAGGATTAGATCACTTTTTAACACATTGTATCCTCAATCTCCCTCTTCAGACATCCAATGAAGAGGACACTTCTTACTCTGCAGTGAGTGATAAGGAAAAAGAGGATCCTCAAAATGGAACATATATCGGTTTGACGGCTAAAAGCGAACCACAAGAGTAAGAAGAGAGGGAAAGGTGGTTTTGTACATGGACAACCCTCAGAATCACAAATAGGGATTTGAGTTTTCAGGAGAGAGAGAAAACTGTCAATATCTCCTCTATGATTGGAAATATTTAAAGGGTGTAGAGGAGGGGAACATGCTTTAGTCTCAACCATATTGTACTATATGTACATAATTGTAATGTCCAGGTCACGGTATTTCCAGAAAAAGCTTGACATTCACACACAAACACTGTGAGTCAGGAGCCAAATTTTGCAGTTTGAATCAGTTTGCTGAAAGCTGCAGTTCTTATATAAGTAGAGTTAGAGAGAGCTTTTTGTGGTGGTCCTAAACAAAAGAAAACACACCCCTTTATACCTCAGAGGTGGGATGAATTTAATTTTAATGACTGAACTTATTCTGTTTGCCTGGATCAGTGGTTCTCAACCTGGGTGTCGCAGGATCCTTTCTGGGTTTTGAGATGGTTGTTGAGCAAAACATTTAAATAACGTAAAGACCAACCTGATAATTGTGACTTGAAAAGGTTGAGAACACTGGCCTATATCAGATTTAGGTGACTGACAACTGTGTAATACGGCACACATGAGGATTTGGGACCAGGGTAATTAAATCTGTAAACTGTGATTTTTTTCTTTTTGAATAGATATTATATGCCACTCTCAGTGGGCCTCTGCTCAGATACTATCAAAAAATGCTATCATAAAGAAGGGTTGAGAAGCAATACATCATCTCAATTTGAATAAATTCAGTGAAACTATTGTTAATTTGCATTTGATCCTAACTAGATGTTACAAAGCATGTTCATGGCTCATTATTGTCAGTTATGCACTGAGGGGGATCTGTGAACATCATTAGCACCACACCTGAGAAACCCTCAGAGTATGTTCTTTTATATATACAGTGTAAGGTGTGTTGAACTGTTCACATTCCTCTCAGTGTATAATGGGGAATATCAGACAAAACACTGTATATTTTGGATGTTTTAGCTTTTGTGAAATATGAAGTTCTCTTTTTGTAAATGTTAATGTAGAAATGTCTCAATGAAGTAAGAGCTTCACAGTTATCTTCTAGTGCCATAATGAGCAACACTTTTATCAGCCATGTAAATCCCTGAATATGACAAGTTTTTATTGTAAAAACAATAATTCATAATGTACTGAATGTGTGTGTTAACGTATCTATTGCCCTGTTTGACTGCTTACATTAACTCACCGCCATATCAAAATATGATTCAGCTTATTATTAGTTCAAAATGGGTTTTATTATGCTTTTGCTGAACGCCTTAATAGCATTGTTGGTGCTCAATATAACACCCAACAAGATTTTCTTCATAATGTTTGTGAAAGACTTCATGTCAGGGCAGGGTCTAGCTATTTCTACTAAACCCTCATGAAGGTTCAATATATGAAGGAACAATGCAGTTCTGCCTTTCAAGATTTGTAACTGGATTTATTTCGCCCTTTTATAGTTTTTACATATATTGTCAAAAGAACGCCATGTCACACCATCAAATCTCACGAAACTGAGAAATGTTGCATTTATTGTCTTTTTTTGCCGGCAGGGTCACTCTGTACTTAATCACTGGTCAACAGATTGTATGTGCCATTAAATGCAGTATAGAAATACTGCAGAATTACTACATTTAAACTCTGTTGAGCCCAACCTTTATTACTGCTTTCATTGTTAGTTATATAATTGTAGGCATAAATGAGTTACTTCATACTGTCTCCTCTTACATGCACTGTAATAAAAAAGCAATACATAAATCAGAGATTAGCAAAGAAGATGTAACAAGTTTAATTCAAGCTTTGATTTTACTTTTTGTGGTGGTGTATACTTTGATCAGTTATGTACAATAGAAAACAACAAAGAAAAGAAAATACTTTCTTTTGTCAAATGTACTATCAAACATGTATGAGAGGGGGGGGAATAAATGGATGAAACTATATTTTTGCAAAAAGTACAGTATTACACAGTATTAGTGTTGTGGTGAATAAGATAAATGATTTTTGTTGCATTGGTAAACCAAACCAAAACCTAGAAAGCACCATATGGATTGTTAACTGGGCTACTTTTTGCCATGCTTTTATAACAGATTTTATTTTCTGTAATTATAGTTAATGCTATAACCACTAAGAATTATAATTGTCAGGTTGTTTTGAAACGCTGACTGTTAATTCTGTTTTTACTGTGTACACAAAATAAAAGTGTTTCAGTAAAGGTGTCTTCTCTTTATTAAAGCCCTTTTGACTGTTTGATTGTCATCTCAGAGACGTTTGTAGCTAGAAATGTATTTACTCTTAATGTTTAAATACAAAAACAGATGTTTCCAGTGTTGTCATAGGCCCACATTGTTTTTCTTTACAAGTTTGAAGTGTTGGGTGTGTGTTGTTAGGTTCTATTCTAGGATAAGGCTCTATTGTCTTGGTACAGTATGGAGTAAAGGTAATATCCTGCTGGTGTTTGTGAGCTGTCATAGTATAAATCACATAACAGGATACATCAAAAAAGGGAAAACACAGAAACACCACCCTTATTTTACTTTTGACAAATATATCAATCGAGAATATACCCCTACATGACCCACCATTGTAGCTTATTTTACAGTATAACTTTGATAATGTTTTTTCATAAAAGATGTTCTCACAATTTTTATCTGAGTCACAAGACTAGCAAATCCAGGAGAAAATAAAATGTTTGTGATTGAGGGTACTGTAAATGGAAGGGTCGATACATTGGCCAAGAGGGCTTTGGAGGTTTAATGTGACAATAAAGGTATAGGAGAGAGGGAGAAAGGAGGAAAACACATCAAATTCAAAAGAGTGTCAAAGTTAGCAGGTAGGTAGGTCATGGGTTCGAGATAGAGGGGAACAAGGTTATGGTTGGGGCACTGAAAATGATTACACCAGACATGCTTGAGTCAGTGATGCCTGCAATAGGAGTCAGTGGAGCACTTAGTTATGTGTAATACAGTAATAGGGGCATAGGCATATGCCCCCATGGGATGCAGAGAGAAATTATTAGGAATAATCCGTGGGAATTGTGGATACCTGAATTGACATTAATATGATTACTGATAGGCCATGGTTAATACAATGTTAATACAATGTTTTAATATATATGATACGGTGCTATGGTAGCTGATCTGGAAAATGAGATTTATAATAGGAGTCGATTGTAAAACAAGCATGGAAAACAACATGTAGGTCGTAACACGCCTTATCAGACGATGGCGCTAAAGCGCCTCTAGACCGGATGTCAACCGCCGCTAAAGAAGCAGAAGAAGAACTGCGAAGACGAAGAAGAAGACAACATGGCGTTCAGTTTTGGCGGCGCAGCGGCTAACCCTGCAGCAAGTAAGTTTAATAAACGTGGGAGTAGTTTAATAATGCTGCAAAGAAAGATGCTACTTACATAGTGTCTAAATAGTGTTATTTTGGTGTACATTCACGATCAATTACACTAATAAACGGTCAACTGACAGCGCAAGTTTCTGTCAACAGTCATGAGAGTTGGATATTTTACCGGCCGACAAAATAAATAATGCGATATGCTTTCTCTATCTGAGACCTGCATATGTCTTTTTAACCAGATTTGGGAATAGTTTAACTCTTTCAAGTAAACGGCTCTCTTTTGCTACCCAACCTCACTGCATGTGTCCCGTTATGTTGTAGCTAGCCCTTAGCTAACGTTAGCTGTTTTGGCTAATGAACAATCCTCAAGTTTACTCATGTCAACGTTAAAATATGAGCTTCTAGTTTGCAGTGGTGTAAAGTAACTAAGTACATTTACTCAAGTACTTTAAATGCAATTTTGAGAAACGTGTACTTCAGTGCTTCAATGTTTTGCTACTTTGTACTTCTACCCCACTACAATTCAGAGGTAAATAGTGTACTATTACTCCACTACGTTTATTTAACCATTAAGAGTCCCTGGGGCCATTTTTCAGCCATTCAGGTTTTCATGTTCATGCCATTTTGGCTGTGTTGAATGAATATTGCTCAAACTTGCCAGAGGATATTCTTTTTTAGTTGTATATTGAATTGTCGTATCAGTTTTTTAAATTAGCCTAAAATGGCTAAGCTACACAAAAACCGACACATTAGTTCCTAGCGGCAAAAAATGCCCCATTGAAAACCATTGAAAATGCTTTTTTTGACCCCACATTTATCTTATCATAAACTCTTGATTTCCTTTATGTTAAGATTTCATTTTGAACTTCTAGCTTTCAATTTTCAATTTTTACATTTGTCTACAAGATGGCGATAATTTTAACCCTTTGAAGCCTGCAGCAAAATGTCACACTTGTTACTGTTTTCTGCAAGGGTCACTTGCTACTGAAATTATGTGTGTGTCACTTTTGATGTTGTATAATGGTGTGTGTGTGCGTGTGTGTGCGTGTCCAACTTCAAAATACTTTTCTCTTAGAAGGCCACACTGCATAATAATCTAATTCAATAATAAAAACAATGAGTTGCGAGAACCAAAACTTTGTTTTGGTTCTCGCAAAACAAAGTTTTGGTTCTCGCTCAGGTTGTTTATACAGGTGCACTGCAGCCATGGTTATAAGTATTACTATCAGTGCAGGAGTAGTCTTTTTGGAGATGGCAAGGCATTACAGCACACAGGAAGCTCTGGACATCATCATGCACTCTCATTGCGAGGATGGCTCCTCATCCTCCTCCGTGGACTCTGAGGCTGACACAGAAGAGGCCTCAGAGTCCATGGCGGACGCCTCAGAGGTGGGAACAGACCAGCTAGAGTCCAACTCAGACTCATCTGAAACTGAGAGCGGAGGGGAGATGGAGGAAGCAGCTGCGGGATGGACTTCAAAAAATGGTAAAGTGTTTTGGTCTCCCACAAACACTGAGACGCTCCGCTACGTCCCAGCAGCCAGAAGTTTGACCCCGGGACCAACACTATGCTGTCCCCCGAATCAGTGACCCGGCATCCAGCTTTGCACTGCTGATGACAGATGACATCCTGCAGCATATTGTGTCCATGACAAACCTGCATGGGAGACGGTCAATTGCAGAGTGGCGAGATATGGACACAGAGGAACTGCAGGCTTACGTGGGGCTGCTCATTTTGGCCGGTGTTTACAGGTCAAAAAATGAATCGACCCTCAGCCTCTGGAGTGAGAAATCGGGACGGAGCATTTTCCGAGCCACGATGTCCCACAGGAGGTTTCACCAAATCAGCCGAACACTGCGGTTCGACGACAAGCTATCCCGATTGCGGCGCCATGATGACAAGCTGGCTGCTTTCCGCAAAGTCTGGGATATGTGGACGCACCGCCTGCCGATGCTGTTCAGCCCATTCAGCGACGTCTGCGTGGATGAACAGCTCATCCCATTCAGAGGCAGGTGCAGCTTCAAGCAGTATATGCCAAAAAAGCCGGCCAAATACGGTATAAAGATTTGGGCAAACTGTGATGTAAAATCCTCATACGCCTGGAGACTGCAGGTGTATACAGGCAAAGCAGCTGGCAGTCCTTCTGAAATCAACCAGGGGATGAGGGTGGTCCTGGAGATGACAGAGGGGCTCCAGGGACACATCATTACCTGTGACAATTTGTTCACGTCCTTCACACTGGCTGAGGAGCTGCTCAGGAGAAAACTGGCCCTGGTTTGCACAATTCGCTGAAACAAGCCTGAGCTTCCCCTAGGCGATCCTCTCCTCCACCTTTGCCTTTACGAAGACCCACACACTGGTCTCTTACATCCCTCGACGTGGCAGGAATGTGCTGCTTCTAAGCACGAAACACCGCAGTCCAGACGTAAGCGACGAAATGAAGAGAAAGCCAGTCATAATCAAAGACTACAACCGATGCAAAGGAGGTGTCGACAACCTTGATAAGGTAGGCACATGTATTCTTACTCTTATATTCTTGTCTGAAATATATGTAAGTTTCTTTCAAATGAGCATTTTCCTATAAAATAATTAATATTTGCATCATGAGAGAAAATGCTTGGAATCATTTATTCAAATTGTTTTTGTTAGGTTGTTGCCACCTACTCCTGCAGGAGGAGAACAAATCGCTGGCCACTTGCCCTCTTCCACAACCTGGTTGACATTTCCCATTACAATGCCTACGTCCTGTGGACATCAATCGAGCCATCCTGGCAGCAGCAAAAACCATACAGGAGGAGGCTCTTCATTGAAGAGGTGGGAGAAATGCTGGTGACCCCACACATCAAGAAGAGAGGGCGCCTTCCCCGCTCATCAGCCGCTGCAACAATGGTGTCAGATCTGCAGGGTGCTGCTGCAGGCCCCTCTCTCATCAGTGAACGGAAGAGCGGGAGGCAGTGCCACTTTTGCATGGACAGAAGAGTTTGCAGCACCTGCTGCAAATGTGTGAAATTCATATGCAAGGACCACAGTCTGTCCATTTGCAGCCCCTGCTCCACCTGAGCTGGACTCTCACAGTGTTCATTCAATGTTCATCTTTGTAAAATAAATGTTTTTCTGGTTCAAAATGATCTTGTATTATTCATTTTAGTCAGGCTGGAGTAGTTTTAAAAGACTGACTCTTTGAAAGTGGGAACAAATATGAATATATCATATTTTTATAGCAACTTTTGTGAAGGTGGCATTTTCTGGCTTTAGGAACACGAGTGTGAGTTTTTGTTTAAATCTGACGCTGCAAAACAAATAACAATGCATTCAAATTAATTTTGCTGCCTATCATTGACCAATCTAGGGACCTAATAATAACAATAATCAAATATTCCTTGAAATGTATTTTTTGAAATTTTTTTTAGTTTTTTTTCAATAAAAAAACTGGAGTTTTTTTCAACAAACTGGCATTTAAAGGGTTAAAATCCCCAAAATATAATTCATTTTTTCATATGTGTATGTCAGGCTGGATTAGTTTTAAAAGACTGACTCTTTGAAAGTGGAAATAAATATTAATATATCATATTTTTATAGCAGTTTTTGTGAAGGTAGCATTTTATGGCCTTAGGAACAAATACATTTTTAAGGTTAATACCTTTTAGTTACCGTAGTTACATTACATTGCATTTAGCTGACGCTTTTATCCAAAGCGACTTACAATAAGTACATTCGACCAGGAAGACACAACCTTGAAGAAAACAGAATCATATAAGTACATCAGGTTTCATAGAGCCAAACATTTCAAGTGCTACTCAACTGGCTTTAGGTAAGCCAGTCCTTTATTAGTATAAAAGTGCTTCGTTAATCGTTCTAACGCTCGAAGTGGAGTCGAAAGAGATGAGTTTTCAGTTTGCGCCGGAAGATGTGCAAGCTATCTGCCGTCCTGATGTCAATGGGGAGCTCATTCCACCATCTTGGAGCCAGGACAGCAAACCCACGTGTTTTCGCCGATGGGAACTTGGGTCCCCCTCGCAGCGAGGGCGCAGCGAGTCGTTTGGCTGATGCAGAGCGTAGTGCAGTGTTACCAGATTTGGATTAATGATGTGAAATGTAATCAACACAACACAAAACAAAACTTTATTTACACCTGGAGTAAATTCACAAGCTACCCCATTATACAAATGATGCAAATTTTAGGAGAAGAGACTGCGGTACTTTAGAGAATCCAACTGCACTTTCACTATCCGACGTGTTTATGATGCGCCAGCGGACGTCATAAATGTGCGTCTGCTGCTGTGGGGAAACTACAGTTTTCTATACAGCGGACTACAACATGGATGTTTAATAAGAACGAGGGACTACTGTAAACTCATCTAGAGACTGCACCGTGCTTTGATGCTGTTGCTTTATGAACAACAGAGAAACATATTCTTCATGACCAAAGTTGGAATTTAAATAAAAAAGGAAAGTGAAACTTATGCTCGTCGCCCTCTCCCTCCGGTCCACATTAATACAAATGATCCCAATACGTATGATTGTATGAAAATATCTTAAAATCAATACAAATGTATTTATTATAAACGTTAGTCCTTAACATCTATCACTGTGTATATCACCATTCAAACATCTTTTAAAAGTTGAACAAACCCCACACAGCTCAGTAAAGACTGTGAGATGTTGACTTTATTTGATCATTTCAGTAAAAACTAACGTTCATATTTCTCTTTTTGATTATAATACTGATGAACGTTCAAAACAAAGCACTTTGGCAACTTACCACATACGTTTAAAAATGCTTAATAAGCACCGTAACTTTCATGATATAATTTCTCGGTCATAATCGGTTGTTTCCGTGAACGGCCGACTGTTGTGTGACGGCAAATGCTGCGGCCGCAAGGCATCGTGGGGCAGCATTTTCTCCTCTCCTTTCGGTTAGGGAGGTCCAGTAGTTCCTAAGCTAAAGGAGGTTATAAAGGAAGTTTGAAACCTCCTTTCCTATCATCTATCTAGAGAATTCGAACGGCACTTATCATGGCTGCCACTGAGGGACTTCCGGGTCATTTCACTCCGTTAGGAAGGTTCCTAAGCTAAATGGACTATTCGACTGAAACCCTGGACTTTTACTTGTAACAGAGTATTCCTACACTCTAGTATTTCTACTTTTACTTAAGTACAATATCTGATCACTTCTCCCACCTCTATTAGCTATTGAAATCCGTTGTAGCTGTACGCTAATGTAACTGTCACGACACTCAACACTCATAGCACTCTCTATGTTCATGTGAAGGCACGTCCGGGTTTTCATTTGGTGCCAAAACTACAGCATCAACTGCAACATTTGGCTTTGGCTCAGCAGCCGCCGCCGCCGCCTCATTCGGATTTGGCAGTAAGTCCATAGATCCGATGGTCACTAAAGAGGGTACCTCTCCTCATCTGAGCCCCAATAATCAAAGCTACTCGGCTGTGTTGTTGGGCAGTTGTATTGAAGAGATCGACTAGGTCTGTCTCATCCAGATTCGTAGGAACAGCAACTTATACACCCACCTGCCACTTCATTAGGTACATTTAATGCGTATTCAATACAACAATGCTGCCTCTACATGCATAATAATGTTCAGTTTACTTTGACACTGTAGGAGAGGTATCACTTTAAAAACATTGTTATGATTGAGCTATTAGTAGGCAGTGGTGATAGACTTGTATTTATTACTAATATTTTGTCTATGGCATTTACATCTGAGGGGCAGAATAGTAGAATTACCTCAACATAATGTACTCCAGCATTACACAAATATCCACTAAGAACTCAATTATAAACATAGTTTGTATTGGATTTAATGATGTTATTAGTATTACATTATTACTGTTATCTTTTTAATATATTCTTTAATTAGTTATTTCTCACATTGTCTTTTATTTCCAAAAGTAATTTGATATAGTGAAACAGCTTCCTTTACAAAGGGTTACAATATATAAAGTTGTATTCTTCAAACATGAAAGTAAATAATAATTGAAAACAAATTATAACATATAATAAAAACAGTAACCAATGCAAATAACAAGCATATCAAAATGTAAAATAAATATGGGTTATTTATAGGGATGCACGATATTGGTTTTTTTGAAACCGATACCGATAACTTCCTGCTTCTCAAGACCGATACCGATAACCGATAATAATATAATATATATATTAAATGTACCTGTAGTTTTTGCACACCTGGTGGTAAAAAAAGACTAGTAGTGAGCAAAATGAAGTTAGAGATCGTTTTAGCCCTGGGGTCGTCTCTGGCAAACTTCTTGCCTTTTTCAAAGGCCTCGTCGATAGGTAAAAGCCCCGGTGCCTTTGCAGCTGGCTTTGGATTCGCCGCTAGTTTAGCAGCGCAGGCGTCTTCGTACGCTTTTAACACACCATCGTAGCGATGGCGATGTTTCAGGTGACTAATCAGGTTGGAAGTATTATAGCTCGTTGCCTTTTTCCCTCCTCATGGAACTTCTGCATTGCATTTGTTAATACAAATAGCAAGCGAACTATCTAACTCTGAAACTTTGAAATAGTCCCATACTACCGGCGACATGTTTGTTTACTGTCCTGGCTTCACGGCCGCACACCATTTACGTCACAGCCAGGCATGAGTTTGTGGATTTGTGAAAAGTTCCCCTCTTCCTAAACCACTAATACCACAGTACTGGCAAAACGGGAGGAGCCGAGTGAAAAACAAGCGCCCCTCATCCCAATCCACCCACACCGCAGTATTTTTAACTTTTTTTTACCCAAAAAATATATTGTATATTATCGGGGCTATTAATACTTTTATCGGGTTTATCGGGATGACGTCATAATTCCTAATATCGGACCGATAATTATCGTGCACCACTAGTTATTTATAAGTTCACCTTACATAGGTAGGTACACATTGCCAGTCTAAAATACATAAGGAAATATTTAATTGCATCCAATTTATGTATCTCAAAATGAAATGCAGTACATTTTCAACATTATTTAATTTAAACTCCCTTTTAGTCCTTTCCATCTTTCTATAAAAAATCACTCCGTAATCGTGGCATGTCGTTTAGCAACATGTGGATTTGGAATCATTATGATCAAACAACATCGATATGAAAACAGAGAAAATGATCTCTTCTTGTGATAACTATTGGTAGTTATCACACAGCCCTGGTTATATCCAAACCTCTGTCTGCCAGTTTAACTCACTGCCGTTCTTGTGTCTGCTTTTTTCTTTTAGCTCTTACAGCTCCTGGTTTTGGGGCAGCCCCCACCGCTGCTGCTGCACCAGCCACAGGATTCAGTTTTGGCTCCACCAACACTGGTAAGATACAGGTGTTATAAACAAAGCCATGGTTTTAAGATACCTGAAGACTGTGTTTACAATATATGTAGTCCCATACGAGGCCTGACCTTTTGTCCTTTTAACTCCTTCATGTCATTCTCTCTTTCTCGCTGCCTGCCTCCGCTGGCTGCAGGATTTGGGGGGCTGGGAGCTGGAAACACCACGGCTGGTGGGTTTAGTTTTGGGGGGTTTGGTTTAAATGCCAACCCAGCAGCAGTCAGCGTTAATGTGGGGTGCTTTGGTACAGCAACCACCACTGGCACTGTTTTCAATTTTGGTAATAGCCTGGCTAGCACAGGTAGATGACCTTTGTGATTTAATGAATCAGTACAGTCTGTCTGTAAACACATTTTCATCCATTTTCACATCTGTGTGGTGCAGTGATTTTTCATCTCACTTGTGGCTTTGTCTCAAAGTGTCATGCATCGTAGTTTCCATTTGCATGAGGAGACAAAATGTTGTATCATGCACTCACCTTTTGATTTCTTTGCAAATCTAGTACATTTTCACCTTCTCTGTAAAAAAAGATAAGCAATGCTAAATGGGGAAAAAATCAGTGTCCCTTTCTGTTAATCTTCAAAGCTCTGTCATGACTTTAAGCTCCCTATATGTCAGTCAGCTATTTCATTCTTTTTTATTTACTCCATTTATCTATCTTTCAACCCTTTTTGTATCACCTCCTCCATCTCAATTGGCATGATTTGCTTAACATTTCAGGTACGTTTGGTGGCTTTGGGGCAGCTGCAGCAACTGCACCTGCACCAGGATCCACTTTTAGCTTTAGTACT